TTATAATTTTTTATGTGTGTAGTAATGTTTTAAACATGAAAAACAATTAAATTACATATTTTTACAGTTCCAAAAGGTGATTAAAGTTTTGCTACAATTTTCATTTGCTATTAGTTCCATGTTTTCACTGTAGTTATTACTGTCAAGCATGTAATTAACCACACGATAGTTATACTTTTTAAGTGTTAACCAAAAGTTATCATTGCTGTTACACTGTATGTTAGACATAGCAATTGTGTTATTAATCCACAACTTAAAATTATACGGCTTCAGAATGGTGAAAAAAGCCATTTCAAAATGGATTCTAGTATATTTTCTTATTAAAGATTGCAGCATTACTTCTTGCTGCCTGCAGATGGCTATGCTTGGTCAGCCATATTCAGCAAATGAAATCAACAAGGCAGTTAAGGAGACAAATTCCCTGACTTTCTATAACTTTTTCTGAACATTAATGAAAATCCCTGACTTTCCAGGTGTGTAGGAACCCTGTTTATAAATACAATAAAAACATAGTGTGTTTATCAATTACTTTCTAATTTAACTCATTGATCACCACACAATAAAACATTTACATGGACCCAGAACCAAACTTTTTTTGTTTTAAATCATAACTAATGTATTTTTCTCTCATTATTTTAATGTTTGTTATCTATTTTTGTGGAAAGTGTATTTTCAGAAATAACCACAGGAGGGCACAAGGTCCTGCAGACAATTTTTGCTTACCTGGACCACTGTCCAAGTATTCCTACATTGCTGGGGTTCAATGTCCATCAGTGAACATTGAACACCAACGATTGTAGATATCCAGCACCAGACAGAACACTAGCAATATGGATATCCAGGAAGAAGAAACACCTGTAGAACAGATGAAAGTATTTTCTAAATCAAATTTACTTACTGAAAGAAGTTGAAGGGCAAAAAGAGTGACTAGAAAGGGATGTTATAAAAATTTCAGTTGGTGATATGGTGCTTCTTATGCCAGGACATATGCCAAAAATGTGAACACAATATGAGAAATGGGTAATATTCCAATATCTCTCATTTTTAAACATAACACAAAATGAAATAAATATTTTCAGTTTCCATTAATTTTACATTTTTCATTTGAGACGTATATTCTGTTTCAACAAATATATTCTTTGCAATGGTCTAACACAGGTGTGGCCAACAGTTTTTGCCTCCGGGCCGAATTGGAAAGAAAAATTTTTCCACAGGCCGAACCAGAGGCCGCCCTAGGAAAGCCGCCCTTTTCTTTTTTTTTAGGCATCAGAATTTTTCATCGAGCTATTCAGACCTGAGTAGCTAATATTGAAAGATTGATCGTGGGCCACATAAATTCATTACATGGGCTGGATCCGGCCCGCAGGCCGTATGTTAGCCATGCCTGGTCTAACACCAACCTAACACCAGTGCTATATGCTTATGGGATCAACACTATTACTTTTAAGTCTATTCAGAGCCAGCTTGATAAGTGAGGCAATGAAACAATTGCTTCAAGTCGCAAAGTAAGAGAGCTGGCAAATGAGCAGTGAAAAATGTTGAAAAAATAAATAAACTCATTTTTATTTATTTATTTTTTCAGACTGGCAAACTCCTTGATGCACATCATAAATTTTGATAAAATTACTGGATCTACCAAATATTCACGTCGCAAAGTAAGAGAGCTGGCAAATGAGCAGTGAAAAATGTTGAAAAAATAAATAAACTCATTTTTATTTATTTATTTTTTCAACATTTTTATTTATTTTGTGTACATTAAAGTCGTTTATATATAGACTAGAATAGAATCAGTTTATTAACATAGTAGGCAATTGCCTGTTACAAGGGGGTACATAACATTAATAAAAGATAGAAAACAAACATTTTATAACAAAGGATCAAATAAACTACATTATTGAGGTACATTATAGTATTTAAGATTTTACCATCAAAAGTTTTCTAACACCATTATAGAAATTCAAAATTTCGTTAGTAGTAGCCTGGTTAAACTTATCATACATGTAACTCACTAGACCTTGGTTGACATTTTGATCTTCAGTGATTTCTGAGTCTTGATCTTTATCAAAGTCGCAGCCATAAAATAAATGAATTTTTGATAATAGTCTTTTACAGTTTGGACAAGTTGACTTGTCATATTCTAAATATTTTCCTTCTAATATTAGTCCACGTTGATTCAGTCTCATCTGTATAAAAAATTTTTGACTTGAAAAGTTAAGTTCGTAAAAATATAATTGTTGATAAACGGATAGTTAAAGAGGGAGTTATGGTAAAACTTATTACTTCTATTACGAACATCATTATTATCTTGAACTATAGAACATTCTATAACTCTATGGATTAATTGGTTGATATATTGATTATTATTTCTGATATAATCAATGACTAATTCGATAGAAAATCCATATTCGTTAAATATATGCGACAGTGGAGTAATCCAATTTCGATTTGTATTTATCTTCTGAGATCTATTGTATAATAGTAGTGCAAGCTTACTAGACAAGTCATCTATATTAATTATCTTTTGTAACCATTTCAAGCAAGCTTTAAACAAAATCGTTTTTATTTTATATCTATTGAATTCCAAATGAAGAACACTCCCCGGCACATTGAACTCCAACTGATGAAGCTTACGTATAAATATATTTTGAAGTTTTTCAAACTTATTGAATTTGTTGAGACACCAAATAGGAGCAGCATACAACAAGGCATTTAACACTACATAATTGAACAGTTTAAAGTGAGTCTTATTATTTTGCAAAGCATGCAACTTAGCTTTCAAACCCTGACAGTTCCAAAAGGTGATTAAAGTTTTGCTACAATTTTCATTTGCTATTAGTTCCATGTTTTCACTGTAGTTATTACTGTCAAGCATGTAATTAACCGCACGATAGTTATACTTTTTAAGTGTTAACCAAAAGTTATCATTGCTGTTACACTGTATGTTAGACATAGCAATTGTGTTATTTATAGAATCTAGTTTGCATGGTCTAAAAAATGATCAATTGGAATAATTTCGTTAGTATTCATGTCCAAAGAATATTTAAGGTGATTTTTTAAAAAGTAATCGTCTTTTACCGTTAATTTAGTTTCAGCAGAAAACTCTGTTTTAATTTTATTAATAAGATATTTTCTTCTAATTCTAGATCTATAGCATAAATCTGACTTCATAGTTATTCTATTAGTCTCATTTGCAAATTTGGATTTATTCCGCCAAAATTCTTTAAGAATGAGATTTCTATCTTTAACCAATACCAAGACTATTTTCATTACATTGTTATTTGAATTACTTTTTCCCAGTGGCATTACCTCGTCAATTTCTATATTTTTTAACTTAAGCTCTAGCTCAATGAATTCAATAAACTCCTTAATCTTATCATTCGATTTAAAAGGAAAATTTATCACTATTAGATTGTTATTATTATTTCCATTAATAATACTATCCAATTGGAACTCAAACATAACCTTTAAGTGCAAAGCATCCTTCATTTTCTCTTCACCTTCGAGAATCTTCTGATCAATAACTTTTATATCTTCTTTAATTTTGATATTTTCTAGTTGTATACGACTTAATTCCTGTTTAATAGCACTAATTTCCAGATTTAATAACTCAAATTTACTCTGTATTAACTCATAAATTGATTTTAAAGAATATTCTGGTGGGCTTTCACCAATTGGAGTAAACTGTTCAGATAACTCAAAATAATCAACAATCTTAGATTTTCTTGTCGTCTTTCTATTTTCTCTTGTTTCTTCATCTATTATATCGTCTTCGTTGACTGTTTCAATTAAATGGCTAGTATTCTCAGAACTAGGTATAAGTACCTTTTTAGGACGTCCACGCCCCTTTTTTGCATCACTGATTGACTTGAACCAGGAGGAGAATGTTGCAACGGACCCGGGTTACTTTCTATTCCAGCCATACTCAACAATATTAGCAAAATACAATCTATCATATAATGACTGTAATTAAAAAATATTTATATTAAAAGAAATTGTTCATACATTTTTATACATTTTTACTTTTTTACAACAAGTTAAGTAAAAGGATTTTACATGCTGGAAGTCCACTTAAAATTGAAAGGTTCATTAGTGAACAATTGATGTTTTTTTTGTCTAGATCTGATTTATTGTAACTAGTGTTGTATAACAAATTTTAAATACAATTTGCAAATAATTATGATCTTTCTTTACATTCTTTTGTAATTTATAGCTTTAAAAAAAATACATTGATATGATCCCTTTTTCTTTTCCACTAAATATAGCTTTTGATCATTCAGAAAACTCTGAAATTCTATATCAGTGTTTCTGAAATTCTACAAATTTCATCCAAAATTATTTGAATTTTTTTGAATAAAAGAGTAAATATCAGATTGTGTAATAACCTATATTAAATTTTGCAGTTTTCTAAATGATTAAAAATTGTATTCAGTAAATAAAAAAAAAAGAGAAAAATATTGATTTTATATTATCAAACACACTTTACTTAATTCTTCCTTCATCTATATATATAATTGAGACGGGTTGATAATGATAATAATAAGTGCAGAGCCCAAATGGTTAGGAGTTGAAAGTTGAAATTTGGTATACAGTTAGTGTATGTCACAAGAACACACACTAAGAAGAGATTTTTCAAAATCCCACCTGGGGGAGAGGGACAGGATTAAGACTTAACACTTCCATCAACAATGGAAGTGTAAGTAACAATGGAAGTGTTAAGTAACAATGGAAGTGTTATGTAACAATGGAATTGTTAAGAGAAAGCAACATACAAGATTTACAGGCGCAGATGCGGTTTTTTTTGTTCTTGCGGGAAATTGAACATTTTTTAACCCATCTAAAAATTCTCTAATTAGTCTGAAAACAGGGGGACCTAATTCTTGCATTCTGTGAAAACAGGTAAGGTTACTTTTGCCCAAGTAACACTGGGCCTACCTGCTAGTTTTATATAATTTAATTAGAATCAAAATTTAAAATCTCTATTTTTTATGTAAATAATAATTAATTTTAAACAATTATTAATTCTGACCTTTGCCTAAGTGACGAAATACAAGTGCCTGTGCCATCACCATTTGTCCACATCTTAGCATACATCCCCATCCCGAATCTGATGTTGGACCAGTTCCACCTTATAAACAAAAATCATAAACTAAATATTAAAATTTAATTAAATTTTAATTTATTAAGATTAATTGGACAATATGTAAATCAGATTACTTAATTTTATTGAATAATTACATTTAAACAAATAAATAATTCAATAATAAATTTGCATTTACAGTAGAGTGTCAATTATCCAAAAGTCAATTATCTGAAAGAATTCTAGTCGGCAAATTTAAATTTTCGCCAATGCTGTGGCGCTGCAATCTTTGGCTATGTCTTGGGCTACTCAAATATTTTACATTTTTGATACTAAATTAACTTCTGAAGTATAATTTTTTATTGTTTTTATATTTTTCAATATATTTATTTTGTTTGTACAAAATAAAAAAATAATTTTTAACGATACAATAGTCTTCGTTAGGCTTAACATCGACGAAAATTCAACGCGAAGCAACACACAACGGAGAAAAATTTCAACATTGGATAAATTAATGTATTTTTTTGTACATAATTGATTATCCGAAATATCGATTTTTCGAACAACCCCAGTCCCCAATTGATTCGGATAATCAACACTCTACTGTATCTTGAAATATACTATACCTATTGGGGAAAAATTTTTCCTGTATGTAAACCATATCTTCGAACAAATATCTACTCTTAATTCTTCTAAATCTGTAATAAAAATACTGATAATATTTATTAAATATAGTTCAATCACATCCTTCTAAAACAAATTATATAAGTAATTATATTTATAAATTAACTACTTTATGATGTATTTTATAATATAAATTATGTATTTTTATAAAAACTAACATTTAAAACATATAATATATGATGTTAATGTAAAGTTTTAAAAACACAAACATATATTGCTTATATATAAAATGTCTCTTGTATTCTGCAAGTATTTATCTACAAAGGATAAATATATTGTTAAGAGAAAAATATTACAGTAATACCTCGACTTACGCTACCCTGACTTACGCAAACCCGGAGTTACGCAATTTTCAAATCGCGTCAATTCGTCTTTTGTTTGAACGCCACGCAACTCTTGATTACTCACCCCCCCCACACTATTGTTCAGCTTACATGTTCAAACGTGTCACGCGGAATCGTCACATAGCTACAATTTATTTTGTGTTATTTATTTCTGTGTTTGTTATATCTACGGAGACTTGAGAGACTCTATGTGATGATTTCTTGTAACCATGAACAAATCAAAAGACAAGATAAGATTAATGAGAACATTTATTAGCTTAGATACATCCGACTTGGATTTTACACAAATTGCGAAATTATACCCCGACTTACGCGGTTATCGCTCGGTCCCATCTATCGCATAAGTTCAGGGTATTACTGTATTAATCATTGGCTGCATCTTGTTTGTAACAATAATAATTTAAAAAAATGAAATTTGTTCTTGTTCTAATTTTAAAAAATGAAATATTTTTAACTTACTATACAAATGTAACTTTTCTATTCAGAAATGAATATTTAAAAGAAAGAGAACACAAATATATCATCCCACTTCCCTTCTATATATTGCATTTTCCAGTAGCAAAATGATAAAATCATAAAGGAAAAAATAACCCTATTTTTTTAAGATTCATCTACATCAGTGTTTTCCAAACTTTTAGACTACTGTTCTCTTTTACTGCATATATTTCTTTAGCACTACCATAAAATCAGTCAAAAATAATACATTGAAAAATAAAATTTTAATAAAAAATTGCATTTGTTTTATAAATGAAAAATAATTGTCTAAATCAGCGCTGTCCAACTTATCATAGCCCGCGGGCCATATTTTCTTCACCAAACATTTCGGGGGCCAAGAAGGTTGATAAACCACATGACATTTGCATAGTGCTACGGTTCAGTAAGCACTAATTGGTCAGCGAGTCCGATGTTGACACTATAAAAAGGCGACAGTTCGCCATACCGGATATACATCACTCTCGTCTAAGTTCAACTTGGGAATTTTTTTGTTCAATAATAAATGTGAATTCTTCTTCCTGAAAAAAATAAGACATTCCCTGAAAATAAGACCTAGCGCATTTTTCAGAGCAAAAATTAATATAAGACACTGTCTTATTTTCGGGGAAAAACGGTAGTAAAATAAAATTAATATTAATAATAATAATTTAGTAAAATAAATTTATTCATAGTAAAATGTACTCGCGGGCCGTAAAAATTATTTGGCGGGCCGCCAGTTGGACAGCGCTGCTCTAAATATATCTTAAAGTATTTTATTAATTAATATAAAGTCATATGTCTCAAAACTGACTTTACAATCTATTTGTTTGAAGTTCAATAGTAAATTTTCTTGTTTCCAAACAAATTTTTGTCCCCTTTGTCTTCCATTGTTCCTACTGTTCCCTTGCCTTTCAGTGTCCCTCTACCACTTCCTTGTTTTTCAGTACTCCCTTTGAGTCTTGTACTACCCCAAAGGAACATTAGCACCCACTTTGGGAAATCACTGATCTAAACATTCTAAACATTATCAGTAAATTGTTTTATCTATCATTCCAACCCATTAAATAAATCTATGAATGAATGACATATTCCAAATTTTTTATTCTAATAAGAATTTTCTTTCTTCCAATTAAACTGAGGATTTTTTAAATAACAAATTTACTTTTCCTCTAAGCAATATATTTTTATCAGCTTTGTTGTAAGTAACCAAAAAAGTCTAAAATTCTTATCCATGAATCTTTTTCTTACACTTTTGTATTTTAAATCATTGTCATAAAATCATATTCATTTCTCTATTTTTTCTCCACTTTTATTATTATTATTATTATTTAAACAGATTCATGTTTTCCCCATAAACAAGCACAGTGCTAATGTTTTATTAGTATACCAATAAAACAGCCAGTTAGGATTATCTGAATTCATATTATCATAATATTGTGTTAAATTGTTTGTTTCTGATTAATTTTTTTCTATACATTCAATAAATATTTTGATTTTATTTAATCTGCACTTGATTTTAAATTTTGAAAATATTTTACTTCCAAAACTATAAATTTATCTTAAAAATAACATAATAATAAATAAAATTTTAGTCTGATTTAATACATATTTGTAGCATGTTATCCACATACTATCAATATAATTTAGTTTTATTATTAGTAAATAAAAGTTTAATATTTAAAATCTAGCTTTTATTGACATCTATAACTAAATGCTAGATGGCTGAACAGTTAAGAAGCTAAGATGACACCCTGGGGAACCTGAAATTGAATCCAGATGGGCTAAAAAATTCCAAGAATTTTTCAAAAGAAGGTCCATCTGAATATGTTAATCTCTACCCTCACCACCCAGCCAAGCTTATGTGGGCTTGGCCAAACCCATAATGAGCTTAGAAAAAGGGTCCTCTTAGTGCCCACAGAATGGAAAGAGTTTTAAAAAAAGTAACTATAGGGTAAAAGGACATCCAGCAACCTAAATTTTTATAGTTCAACAGGAGATTTTTTTACTAAAATATAACACAAAATAGCACAAAACAAAGCACAAAATAGTGATTTTGTGCTTTGTTATTTCCAAGAAAACCACGGACTACATCCTTAAATGATTTCCATGCCTTTAGCTCTACGTTATTCAACTTCATGTCAAAATTTTCATCATAAGTAATTTTCTAATCTGAGGTCCAACGAATATTCCTTCCTTTAATTTATCTTCACTTAACCTAGGAAATACTTGGCTTACATGTTTAAATCCTGGTCCTTCTTCATTCAGTGCTTTAACAAAATTTTTTATCAACCCCAATTTTATATGTAAAGGGGGCAAAATTACTTGCTGAGGGTTCACTAATGGAACATACTTAATATTGTTTTGCTCAGGAGTCTCTTTTTGGCCAATCTTTAACCACATAATGTTCACTTGTTGCACGACTGTCCCACAGATATAAAAAGCAGCAGTATTTTGTAAAAGCCACCTTGCAGTCTGAGAAGAAGACCAATAACTTTTAGGTTGCCACAGATACGCCATAAGTGAGCACTAATAATTGACTGCTTTTAAAATTAATGACATAATTTCATATGTTTCTTTCAAACCAACAACATGTGCTACTGGTATAGAAGGATTCTTGTTTGAATTATGCAATAGCACTGCTTTTAAGCTTGTTTTTGATGAGTTTATAAATAACCATCAATCATCAGCTTTATAAGGAATATTCAACTCAGATATCAAACCATTTACATCACAACAGGAACACAACTGATCTGCCATAGTGAAATATTTCATTAAATCCTTACTTCTGTGTCTGAAAAATGAAACTTTTGTATCCTTACGCAATAAATTCCACTGATTTAAGTGTGAACCTAACACTTCTGCTTGCTGTTTTGATAAATGCAAGTCGCAAACCAAATTGTTTAGTTCCACTTGTAAAATGAGATGTGGTTCACTATTTGATTTTTCTGGTATAAAATCTTCATCTCTTGGACCTTGTGCTGCTGCATCAGAACAATCCTCTTCAGAATCAGGAATCTCCTGCCAATAAGCTGGGGCTGTGGGAATAGGTAAATTCTCTCCACGAGGAACTGGTCTCATAGCCGATGGAATATTTGGATACACAATATTACTTTTATTTTTTGCAGAGAAACCTCTGACCTTTGTTAAACAGAAGTAGCAGTCGTCATAATGATTTGTTTGTTCTCACCAAATCATTGATTGGTATAGCAAAAGGCAATGCTCCTTTTCTCCTCATAACCACTGCGTGAGCTTGACATAACACCTAATACACGTTAAATGCAGCACCCATTGTTTGTCTTGATCTCTGAGTGGACATCCGAAATAAAGTCCATAGGCAGTTTTCATCAATTTTGAAATGGGCCTATGCTGACTTTGTTGCGAATTCACATATCCATAACAAAAACACATCCAGAGAATTTGTACACGAATGTGTTTGTTGCCACATATTTCAATATATGTCAAGGTAAAATTTAAATAAGAAAAAATTTCCAAATTTATTTTACCTGCAATTGTACATGGATTACCATACACAACTTCACTCGCCAATGTCTTGAACTGCACTGAAATAATGTATTTTCAAAGACTAATAACGCATCTTCCTTGTTCATGGTTTAAGCATGGTGCCAGAATAAATAGGTTATAAACTGGCACCAATCAGGCAGCTGTTCTTTTGTCAAAGATCTTACTCATATCCAGATGTACCTTTTCTCCGAAACTACTAATTATAAAAATGTAAATGTAAAAATGTGTTGATTGTAAAAATGTTGACTTTTGAATTGAAATTTTAAATTTAAGAATTTTTTTTGACAAAATCTTTACTTTAAATAAAAAATTTATTTACAACTGAAAAATTAAATAAAAAACACGTTAAAATGTGCACCACTACAAGAGGAACAAGTCAAAGTTTGCCATTTTTTACATGGGCTGGGACTGAACATCTGACTGCCCTTAAAGTCAAATAACTAAATAACGTGACGTGATAGATCATTTCTGATCACACTTTCTGTTCAGCACGAGAAATACATTAAAAAAAATCACTGATGTATCTGTTCCGAAAATCATGTAGACTAGTGTAATTGATTTTAAAAAAAATGTAGTTTTATTTGCACTTTACCTTTGAGGATAGATGACAGTGGAGGTGTAAACTGGTGGCGGAGGAGTGGGAGAAGGGAAATGATACTAAAACTTAACTTACA